AGCTGCTGATTACAGGAACATCASTCTGAAATAATGAGAACATCTTCTTTTCACTCAGAGGCTGATCTTGGTGATCACCTTCCTTTGCTCCATAGATGAACAACGTTTTTCATTCAGTATGTGGATACTTTACACAGGGGAAAGCAAAAATGCTGTGTCCTCAAGGTGATTTGTATTACTTGCTAAACACGCAAATTATGAGCTTGGAGGAAAATAGATATTGAAGCAAAAAGCACAGGTAGTGAATCAGGGTGAGATGGGAGTGTTGGAGGGCAGGTATCCTCTGCAAATGCAAAACATTTCATCCCYGCAGAAACCTCAGGCTCATTAAGCTGCTCCGGAGAGGTCAAAAAGCTGCCTTTGTTCTCAGCAGAGGACCTTGTGGCTTTATGAGTGGGGTCAGTTTGGCATCTCCAAGGCACAGATTTGTAAGGACAAAGTATTTGACTCTTGCCTCATGTCACAGACTTGTGCCTTGCTGGTGATGCTCAGGGCTCAGCTGTCCTCCCGACTTCTCCACAGTCTATCCAGMAGGCTGGAATGCACTTTGCCCAGCACTTCAGTGCCTCACTTAGAGCAGAGTGACTGATTTACCTCCACTCCACTCTCCTGCTGCCCTGAACAGTGGATTTTCAAATTATCCAATCACCTAAGGGGGTGAAAGAGGCTGTCTTTTTCCTCAGAATATTTGTCTGTTTCTTTACCAGGCTCTTAGCCTTAGCTCGGTAGGGTTACTTGATCATGTTTGATTGGACACTTTAAACAAGAATCCTTGGAAAATATCTTGTTGGCAGTATTTGTGCCAGAAAATTGTTTCTGTTTTGAACATAAGTTCTTAAGAACAGAGATGATGATGTTATTTTCCTGCATGTAGGCACCTATTGACATCTAAGCTGTCTGCCCTCTACTCTCTTCACAGCCTTTGCAGCGAAATGAGAACTTCTGGGTGTGRTTCACTTTACCCTAGCATATTTGTCTGTGGTTAGAGAAACTGCTCCCTAAACACGCCAGTTGATTTKCAGAGTGTAGGGAAGGAGAGCAGGATGAGTGTCCCTAGATGACTACACAGGCAGGTATGTGGGGTTAAGTGAAACCCACACAGGCTGTCCTTGTGTTTGTGCTGTGTTTGGCACATCAGAGCTGTGATTTGCCAGCTGGGCTCCAAGACAGTGTCACCCTGTATCTCATCAACTCTGACAGTGATGCTGGGAGGAGCAGACACACAGAAAAGGAGTTTTTCTACGACTCTGAATTTGTGAGATATKCTTTTGACTGAGTGATCAATGTCTCACTTGTAATAACTCTCCATGCTGCCAACACTGCAGATGCTGTTAGAGCAGGCTCAGCTAATGAGGAGCCGAGGAGAGCAAACTCTTATGCCTAATGCTGTCAGGGACCTGCAGGGACTGGCTCTCATTGRCTGTGACCATGGATGGTTCTTCRTGAGCAGATGAAGAYGGGCTTGATCTCAGGGCWCCAAGGCTCCCAGCATGGTGATGGRTTARTARRGAAGGTTTAGCAAGAGYGGAAGATGCTYCTGYGATAACTTAGTGTAACAATGCCCTAGGGAGACGGCTCAAAAGAGAYCCACCCTGCTCACCCTTTTACACTAGGGCAGTTCATCTGCTTCCTTGCAGTGGAAGAAAGATGTGAGGTCTGATGGTTCAGTTCCCAGGTGCAGGAGGTCAGGTCTCTCTTGTGTGCAGCTATGAGTGGTTATTTTATCTCCTTTCTYTGTCTGCTTTTCCACTGGGCCATCTTTGAAGAGACATTTCTCTGTGAAAACACAGGCTTTGCTCCAAGAAAATGAACACCTTCTTTCAGCAAGTATTTTATTTCTGGGCTTTTAAACACCTATTGAAATTGTCTAATGGTATTTCCTTTTAGTTTTTTTATTTATTTAGTAAAGCAACCCTTCATAAGCAGAACATAGCATTTCAGAAAGAGAAGGGCTGTTCCCCAGGAGGAGCTGCTGGCAGGGCTTTCAACACCTTCAAGAAATAATGAATTCAATCCAATATGTGTTCACGGCATAGGGTGTTTTATTACCCCTTTGTGTATTTGGAGYCTGTGTATTAATCATCACCTAGAAGCAAGAAGAAAATTGTTAGAGTCTCTTGAGGTGAAGGCTGTGTGTAAAGTAGTCGRGGGCTTTGTGGTATATTGTAGTGGTTTGGAAGTTGAATTAACCTGCATTCTTTCTTTCTTTTTTTTTCTTTTTTCCTCCCCTGCAGCACAACCAGACATGGCTACAGAAATAGATTTGTTGCTGTGGAAAAAGAATTTATATATTTCTTACCAGATCAAAGGGAAGAGAGCTGTAATTTTTCATCCTTTTGGCATGATGATACAGGATTAAGTGCATTTGATCTGTGTAATTTGTGGATTCTGGTGGGCTTTTAACTCAAATTCCAAGAYATTTACCTTAACACTGATAGGCACTTTTAATAGTGGAAGGCACAGTTCTGACCTGGCAGATTTTTTTATTTTTTATTTTCTGTGATCCAAGGATGATCTTTAATCTTATCCATGTACCTGCAAGAAGACAACTAGCCTCCATTTGAGACAGTGTGGAAATTCTGATGCCTACATAGCCACATGAAGAGCTATGCTTTTGCCTCCTGTGTTGTCAAAGGGAGAAGACAAAACCTGAAAAAAAAAAAAAGAAAATAAAGCCGAAAAAACTTGGTATGTTTGTTAAGAACATGAAATGTTATACAAATATGGTAGGTCAAATAAAATGTGCTTCTGGTCATGCATAGTGGTTCCAATGTTGGTTAGAACTGGAGATTTAGAGAGGAAGAGCAAAAATAGAATTTTCCTCTAATACTAAGGCATTTTTCAAATTTTCTGGGCCTGACCAAGGTTTATAAGCTTTCAATGGTCTTCTCCAATCTCAGTCTTCCTTGGAACCTGTATATACTTTTTCTGTCTACAACATTCTTTTTTAAGGAATTCTGCTCATGAAGAATCACTTTCTTTTGTTTATTTTGAATTTTCTTCCYGTTACTTGATGCCTCCTGGTTCTACTATTGTATCTTGGCACAAGTGTGAAGTTACAGGCCCAGCATGGTCAGTTTTGTACTAAAGGATGATTCAGAACTACAATCCAGAGGCATTTGCACCAATCCCATTCCAGGAGAACTTGCAATCTTCTTGATTTCCAAAATATGTTTTGGTGCACCGTCCTGGTCCGTTCTGTCTCAGAGCAAACCCAACTCCTAATTACTCACATTTACCCCTTTTGCCTGCATGTTGTGGGAGCCACTCACACAAATCAGGCCCAAACTCTTGTTTGCTCAGCTCAGAAAGCTGTGTTAACATGACATCAATCTAATGCCATTGACTGCCTGAGGGAAAAGATCCCACAAGTTAAGCCAAACATGCTGGTTGATTGACTGATGGCAATAAAACCCTTGCATGGGGCTACCACAAAGTTAGCTGGTTTGGCGAGGCCCTTTCAGCTGTGTTGTCTCACATTTCTCWCCACTTGTCAGAGAGCAGACAATTTAATGAACTCCCAGTCAAATGTTCCTTCTGCAGAGATCTGCCCAGTGCCTCCAGGTTGGGTTTTGCCACAAGAACAGCCCAGACATTTCCTAACAGGGTGATCATAGTGGAAAGCAAGCACGGGAAACCAGAATAGCAAAACAGATCACAGCTTCTTAAGAACCTTTCTCTTCATCAGCCCTAATGCTCTTTTTCATAACCCAAGTTATAAACTGGCAGAGAAAGAAAGTGTGTTTTTCTGGCAGCCTGGATAGCACCTAGGATGATGAATCCCCCTTGTTTCTTATGGCCTGTACACATCACCATAATGTAAATTATTGGTAAAATTATTCTAGTTCACAGCATACAGATTCACTCATCCAACTTAGGAATGCAGTAATTAGTTTTTAAAAGGAATTGGTAATCAGTACTCCTAAACATGCAAAGCTCAGGTTTATTTTCTGAAAATGGAAAGCCTTTGCTCATTAAAAGGATGTGGGAATGTTGTCAAATCGAGTATTTTTGGCTGCCTGTGGGTCACATTTCCAAAATTATTTGGATGCCTAAATGTACTAGTAAGAAAAATTCCACCTCAAGACTTTTTCTCTGTCTTTTGACACTCAGAGGTGCTGTACAACTGGTGCTGTCATGTTCTGGAGGGAGGCAGCCTGGCTGAAAGGCTGCAGGGCTGGAAGCTGARTTGTGGTTTCCCTCTCCAGCCACTGATCCTGTCCTGCAGTGTTAAAATAAGCCATAAGCTAATCWCACCCCCTCCTGCACCTCATTGCTGCCCATTTGTAAACAAAGCGCAGTTCTGTGCACTTGCAGAAAGTCTTTTAGGATCAGTGAATGATAAAAAGTGACTATTTTCATTCTGGGGCAAGACTCAGGTTCATTGCCCAAGTCTTGCTATTTCTGCTGACCTTGCCCAAGATATGCTAAATTGTGAGTTACTGCTAACTGTGATAAGGCTTCTCTGGTGTGAACAAATATTCATTAGGCTCTTAACTGAAGCAATTGCTTCAGTTTAAATAGCTTAACAGTGATCCACTGAATGCAGATTAGGCTACAGATCCTGTAGCATAGTTCATATTGATACTGAAGATATGAGCGTTATGAACTCCCTAATCTGTTATTTTTTTCTCCCCTAGCTGTGGAAAGATTTTCATTTTGAAAAGTAACGATTATAGCACCTAGGTTTTTTTAGTATGTGTGCAGTCCTCAGGATCAGTTAGGACTTGCAAAGAAATTCCTGCTGTTGCAGAAAACTTGCGCTGCAGATATGGAAACTGAATGCGTGTGTATAGTGTGGCAATTAGGAACCATTCACAGAAGTGTTTTGATGGCTGACAGATCAAGGAAGTTTTAAACTTTTACCTTTCCTAAATCAATTCTTTAAGGACAGCCTCTGTGCTCACAGCTGATTTTCCCCCAGTGTTTCAACATCATCACTGTTGGTCTGTAACATCCACACTGCAAGCCAGRCRGTGCTGRGGGCAYKGAYRGCTTTGGTCTTCGGTGGTTCCTGTGTGCCAAGATTTGGTGACCAGGCCTGAAAGCCCATTTACGAGAGAGGCCATTTTTCATAGATCTTTTCAAAGATGACCCTGTCATCTTTCTTTTCTCTGTTAAAAAAAAAAAAAAATCGCTTATGCCTGATGGTTTATRCTATGTTCTGCTTTCAGTAAGGAAGACCTCACCTCCTCCCAGTATCACTTTGCCAGTCGTCCTTCTCGTGTAGTCTGCAGGCTGTCCTGGCTATTTGCAGTCCCATGTGCTGATCGYGTTCTCCCTCTGGCAGTTTTTGTTAGCTGAATGCCACCTACTTGCAGCTTCACCCATCTTTGGTAGTCATGYTGCTCACATACCTATCCAAAATACTTAAGGTTTTCATCTTGCTGTGCCTCGAGTGTTACAAAATACTTACATGCTCTTAGTTACACCATCCTTGTGCATATTTAAAATGAAGGCAGGCATATTAATTATATTCTAACACAATTATAATTTCTAGGTGTCACAGGCCTCTGTTTTGCTACACCTGCATATTTGCAGTGTCATCCACCCTTCTGACCTCTTTCTGTGGCACAGCAGGTTGCAGCCTTTACTCTCCTACCATAGGTGGGCACGCTGTGCTGTGACTTTGTAAGCAGATGGATATTTTGTCAGCCTTTCCATGGCTATTTCTGCAGATATCGAATCTTCAGTAGCCTGCTGGGTAAGGAAAGGAACTATATTCAATTACTAAGGGTGTCCATAACTCTACCTCAAGAATACAGAATGCTTTTTTTCTCTCCAGAGAAAGCAATTCTGCCAAAAATAAGGTCAAGGAGTGGGCCTCATCTCTGTCAGTATGATATAGTATCATTTGTAGAAATAATGCTTGGATTAACTGCTAAGTTTGCTGCTTTGCCTTTGAACTCATCCTGTCACTTTGATTTGGCAAAGTGCATTCCTCAGTGGATAGAAAGAATGAGAATGAGATTTTTCTCAGCCTTGTCCCCAGCTCTGCCACCATCTTCCCTTGTGACCCTGAACAAACCCYGTGGACGTTATTAAAATGCTGGAAAAACAGCCAGGCAGGAAAAAAAGTTGTTCAGTATAAAACATATTTTTGTCTCGTTATAGTCAGTGGCCCTTGAGATAATTACAGGGAAAGTTATGGATTCAGAGGGAACAGAGCTATCCCAGCACTCAGGACAATGAGTCTCTGGAGTGGCCTTTTTTCTGGTGCCCTCTGCTCCTTGGCAGCCCTCCTGGGCTCAGGTGKCCTCAGGGTGTGACCAGGTGTGTGCTGCCCACACCAGATGTTTGTTCTCCTAACCTCAGGTGAGCCTGATCCCCACCCAGCCCTGGAACCACTCTAGTTTGGTCAAACCCTCAGTTTACTCATAAAAGGGGAAATGTGACATCTGCTTCACAGAAAATGCTTGGATAAAAAGGCAGCTCCTCTTTACACGGGTGTARTTATTCTCTGAGGTCWTTCTGGATGATGGGATGGCTGAAATGCTAACTAAATTTTTGCTAGTGTCCTCATCCCTCTGACTGATGAGGTGTTTTGTCATYATCTGGAGGAGTCAAGCAAGCATTYTTCACCCAAGATTTTCCWTTTGTCTGCTTGGATAGTGAGGGAAAGTACCTTGGAACAGGAGCTGGTGAGTAACTGATGGAGTAAAAGCAATAGGGATGCTTTGACCTAAGGAAAGCAAAGTGCAAATGTTCCCTTATGGGTCCTGTGGAGAACTTAGACAAATCTAATGGGATAGCAAGAGTATTTTTTCGATTTAACCAAGTGTCATCCTATGCATTTCATAAGTTGCACTGCCTGCTGAGCCCATGATACGCTCATGAGCTCTCCCTGTGATTTGGGCCTCGTCTGATGACTCTGCTGCAGTTTAGGGAACTAGCCATTTAACTACATAAATATTAAAAACATTCAATTAACTTTGCTTGGATCTGTCTGGCACTAAGAAACGAAAAATTCTAGGGTTTGAGATATATGACTTGGCATGATTATATGGTGAAATGAATAATGTTTTAATGAGTGATTTGTAATTATTKAATAATTAAAGAGCTCTTATGAATATTCTTGAACACCCTGTGGAAAAACTAAATTGTATGCTGATTTCATCAAGCATTCAAATCTAATCAGAATTTATTTTTATAGCTTCATTTTAAATATAGTCTGCAAGAACATTGCCACAATAACGCAGACAGAACAGAAAAGTGTCATGCTGTAACAGCTCTGTTTTTTTAGTATAAGCTGCTGATTTTTCCTTGCAGAGAATTTTTCTGCACTAATGGATTGCAGCTGGACTCTATTCCAGGGCCTGCAGCAGCCAGTCAGGTTCCATCAGTGGTTCAGTGACAGGTTGAGGGTGCATCAGTTTTGGTTTGTAAAAACAATGAACGGTAGCCACTCGCTGCAGGGAGATGGATCCCATTCACCCCTGCCTGGAAACAAAGAAAGACCACAAAGGAAAACAAGAAGATGCAAAAAGGGAACTCTTTCACTCCTRTCATGAAATCAAGTCAGTCTCAGTCTCTGGAAATCCAATTTACTTTTAATTTTTCTTTCCACAGTATGTGTATTGCAGCTTTGGGCAACTTTTTCCTAAAATGATGTTTTCTCTGTCTAATCCTGGAAATGCTTATCCCACAGGGATAGAAGAGGCCCAAGAAAAAGGTAAATTTTGTGACCCATAAATCATCCAAGTTTTTCTTAACTTGGATATTAAGGGTCAGGCAAACATTTATGCAAAACGGTTTTATGTTAACTCACCTTAATAGATCTGGAAATGAATAACAGAGGCCTCTGGATGAAGATTTTCAGAGGTTCACCAATCMATTTTTTAAAAAAATGACCCCTATAGGCCAAGAAATCAATCCAGAATCTTACACAGAAACCACAAGTTGCTATTAATTTCTGAAAGAAGTTTGGCACACTGGTATTTGATGGGATAGAGGAAGGACCARTTGGGGGCCCTCTTCCACATCAATGTCAATGCAGTTATTACTTGTGAGGATATAATTGTCCTGTCGGGTTGCATGAATAATTCATTTTTAATTCCATATTAGATTAATTTAATCTCATCCTCTCTTTGTGAATTGTCCTCCAATAAGTTGTAATTTTCTCAAATATATTTATTATTCASAATTGACTGTAGGACTCATGAGTCATTCATTGCAGGTAGGTGACATTCAGAATTGAGACTTTCAGGGTGGACATACAGATCATTTTTGTGCCCTGTTACACAGGAAAAATATACAGAAACAAGTTTCTACTTCCAACATGTATTTATGAGTCTGAAATTCACTTGCTTTTACTATTCTGAAATGCTAATTCTAAATTCACCATCTCAGCAATAGTTCCAGCAGATTCATTGGCTGGAATATTTGGAAGTAGGAAAAAGTGCTGAATGAATTCATGAAAAGAGTCTGAAAGAAAATATTCATACAGCTTTTTGTAACACCAAGTCTAGCTTAGTGACTTGACATTCTGCCAGAGATTAAATAGAGAACTTATTACCCACCATTCAACTTCTCCTTTGAATTTTTTGTCTCAACTTKCTTTCTTTATGTAAATGGAACATGTTGTTGATCAGTCTGCCACATCAACTTTTTTCCCTCAAAAACCCCTACCTTCCCCCATTCTCAACCCACAAAACCACAGAAAGATTTTAAACCACAATTTTTTGATAACTCCTTAGTTTTGTTAGACTGAAGAGAATTTCCACATTTACAAAGGGAAATTATTGGAGTGTGTCCTGTGACTGCTCAGAGTGCAACTAACCTCACCAGCAGCATTGAGCTTAATATCAGGTTTTGGTCAACACTCACACAGAAAAAGAGAAGCAGAAAAGAAGGAAAAAAAAGAGGCAGGTACAAGAAAAACAACCATATAAAGYAGAAGATAAATCATAAAAATCTTCTTTTTAAACTTTTGAAGAAGCTAGTGCTTCAGTTGTGTTCATGTTTTTCTCTTTTGATTAAGTAACAACTTCAACAACCTTTGCGACTAATCCAGCCTTTCTGACATTTTGTCACAACACATTTTGTCAATCTGTTTTGTGGAAGAGTCCTGATGAGTTGTGCTAGAAATTACACCTTGTGCAGAATTAAGTGTGCCAAAGATTAAGAGCAAGAATCAAGGACTGCAATTTTTGTCTGTGTAGTTCTCAACACCAGAAAGAAATGTAGAATAAACACAAAAGCAAAATCTCTCTCATCTTACCAGAAAATAGCATACTTTTTCCCAATTATATCTCATGATTAAAGTGAATTCCGCATTTCACAGGAATATAGAGCAAAGTAAAACTGCAAAATGAAGGGCAAATGCTAGTAGATATTGAGGATTTCAAATTTTTCTCTGTCTTAAAAAAAAAAAAAAAAAGAAGTTAAATTGTGCAAAGCATCAACATATGAGGAGTACTCATTTAGGAGTCAGATGYCATTTAGGTTATAAGCAGAATTAGTTTGCTGCTGTCATTACAGGGTCCAGTGGGTGCAGTTGTGCTTCAGCCATCCATCTCAATGCGTGGTGCAATGCATCACAATTGGTGGATTCTGCTTTGGACCTGCCTTCTGTAGAGACACGAGCAGTTTTGGCAGGCCAGCCCTGGAAGGTGTGTGSGCCTTTGTGCATTCCCAGAACTCCCTTTGTGCATTCCCAGGACTCGGTGTCAGGTGGTTTGCAGGCCTGGAGTGCAGTTACTGGTCTGTCTCTGCTGTCAAAGGCTTGTCTCTGCAATGGTATTGGGGATTTCGGGCTGGTGCACGCTGTTGCTTTAGGGAAGGAGAGCAAAACTGTTCTGTCAGACCTGAATTAAGATGGATTTTTGTTGAAAGTTCTTGGAATTGATTTCTTTCCAGTTTCCTTATTGGTAAGAGACATCACAGTTGGGTTCAACTTACAAAATAGCATTGATTTCTCTCCCCGAACCACAGATGATTCAGCTTGTAATTTCCTCTACAATTATAGAGCAGATCTCCTTAGAAACTGCTTGTATCCATTCAAAGTTTTGTCTTGTGGAAACCACATTTCCCCTCTCTTCGGCCAGATGTGCTTGGCACGAGTCCAGAAAAACAAAGTAGAGAAAAGTACAATAAACACTTTCCTGCTCCCATTCCCTCTTTTCTGCTTCCTAAAAGGAGATTCACAACATTGCAGCTTCAGTTATCTCTGAGTGCCTTGGAATCTCGGGCCATCCCAAGTGGTGGGGTTGGTCATGGATGGGCTTCCTTGTGACTCTGCCAGCATGTTGTGTTGCCTTTCTTCTTGAGGAGAGGCCAGGCTGCAGCACAGAGGTCACAGTTTCTCTATCCTGGCACAGCATCGTGCCACCCAAGGCTGATCAAACTATGCTGATTGCACAATTGGCTCTGCCTCGGTGGCTGTCACGTGTTTCTCCTCACACACAACTTCAACAAYGCACAGGAGAATTCCCTTTACTTTCTGTGGGCATCCCCTGTGACCCTCAAGGGAACACATCATCATGCAGCAAGTCCCTGTCATGGAAATTGCTGGGCTTCGGGGTTTAAGCGGGAGCTCAGCTAAACCACAGCATCTTGTTTAGACAGATAAATCATCGGACCTGATGACAGTCTGAAGAAGAGGGAAGCTTGTACTGGGACAAAGTCACACACAGAATGTCTGTAAACTCTGCTCTACCCTCAGTGCTTTACTGAGGTCAAGATAACATTAATTTGCTTTTACATTTGGGAAAAAACTCCTCAGATCTTCTGCCTTAGTAACTGTGAAATGGGTCTGTGCTGGCACTGGAGACAAAAGCAGACTCACTTCGCCCATATCCAGTGCTCACTGCACCATGAGAAACACTCAGAGTGATCTGAATTCAATCATTACAGTGGCTGTAGACTGACTTTTCAGTAAAAGGTGTTGAAATCACATCTGTTATGTGGAAAGCTTGAATGCATACCAGTAAAGAGATAGAGAAAGGCATAAGGAAGAGGCTCAGATGAAAGTGGTRCCTCTATAGGACAGGAAGTTGAGGCTATGTATGGATGTGTTCTTATATACACATTTACAGATGTATATGCATACATATATGCAGACACATACACATGTGTGTAACAACTATGTAGAGGTATTAAAAATATGCAAAGAATATTAAAATCCACTAACAAACTGAGAAGAACCTAAGAAAGGATATGGTAAAAGGGCGACAGATGCCAGTTTTATGGACGTATGCTCTTCTTCCCTGTTATTCTATCATCTCTTTCTCTATAGGGAGAAAAATCTTGGTCCTTGTGGTGTTTATATTATGCCAGCTTTTACCAGCATGGTTCTTTGTCCCTGAAAATAAACCCATTTCCAGTATTACACCTGAAAGCTGTTGTTGTATAAAGATTTTTCCTCAAATGGRTGGGATCTGATCTTCCCAACACCTTTTTATACATTGCTTCAAGTGTCTTTGTGCATCAGGCCCAAAGCTGAGCAAKTCATTGTAAAATCATAGGGGTCTGGAGGCCAAATGCTTGTCTCAGAATGGGAGGCAGTATGGGACACAGCCAGTATTTCAGCCAGCACTGTAAARTCCTTCTGTGCAGCTAGGAAGATGTGCACGTGGGGATTTGATTTCTGTAATTTTGTGTGTGTATTGTGGTGTGGAGAGGTGCCCGTTTATCGCTGTGACAGCTGGAGGGCAACACCTGACAAAGATTTGGCATAAACTGTCCCTTTGGGAGAGGATTTTCACATAATGCCAGTGTGGAGGTCTGCTGGTAAAACAATGTTATGGGACAGAGTTGAGAAGCTTTTCAAGCTCTATTAAATTTACATAGGCTCTACACATTTTTAATCCTGCTCAAACATCCTTGTGTACAGCAAATAACTTCCACGATCCCCTGAAAAAGCACTCATGCACAGTGCACATTTGCACTGATGTACTTATTTAAAATCCAAATATTTGGGAAAGGGGCTGAAATTACCTCCATCTTTCCTCTATACAAATACAGACTACAAATACACCACCAGGCCCAGAGAAATCTTTTCCTAATTGCAGATGGGATATATTTTGGTGAGGGCATACATTTTACAGACACCACAGATGGGAATCCAGATCTTCCCTAAGTGCRGTGTGGGTGATTTTCAAGAGCTTGCTCAGCAATCACAGAGATCTAAATATCGAGCAGTTTKGGGGACAGTCTGGTCTGGGGCATGGACTTGAAAGTCCATTCTGGGGCATGTCCACAAGCATGGTATGTGCCTCTTATAGACAGCACAGGAGACTGAGATCTAAAATCACACCAGGACAYTCCTAGATGAGCTATCTGATTTACTGCCTGCAAAACTACGCTGGATTTCAGAAAGCTGCCTTGTTTTCCAAGTAAAACAGAGGAAGATGTRCTCTGTCCTTTGTGATGAATATCAGTGGAAGAGGATTATTGTGCTGATTCTGGAGAACAAGGGAAAATCAGTGACCAGTGTTTTC